GAGAGAGAGTGAGAGAGAGAGAGAGAGCGTGAGAGAGAGTGAGAGAGAGAGAGAGAGAGAGCGCCTGGGAGTGACAGAGACTCAGCGGCACTTCCTCACAGAATGCCCAAAATATCAAAACATTAGAGACCACCATTACCCCAAAATTAATCATATATTTCCCAAATTTAACATTTGTAGCACAACCGAAAAACTTTGTTTCATTCTTGGCAAAAAAGTCAAATGTGGAAAATGTGCAAATGTGCGAAGAAATATAGAGCTGAGGATCATCAGCATAACAGTGAAAGCTAACACTGTGTTTCCTGATGATATCTCCCAACGGTAACATGTAAAGCGTGAAAAGCAACGGTCCTAGTACTGAGCCTTGAGGTAGAGACCTGCACTCCAGCGGGATCCAATGCAACGGGATGCGGCGCGGGACAACTCTTGATCGGGTGCGGGTGCGGGTGGGAAGAGACTCGTGTGTGTGCGGGATGCGGGAGAATAAAATGATTCGCGGGACTCCCGCAAAATAGAAATTATCTAAACATAAATTGTCTACCCTGTTGAAAAAACCAGCATATGCTGGTTAGGTATGTTTTGACGCTGGGATGCTGGTTTAAGCTGGTCCTTTGCTGGTTTCTTGAACAGGAGCGCTTCACAAAAATGAACCGAAACTCAGCGAATACATGCCTCACAGACATGATAAATATAGGCTAGCTATAGAAAGCTTTAAATTACTACTTAACGAAATAAAACAAATCAAAAACAAAAACTCTTTCATTATAATCATAATCCGTAAAGATGCACTTCTCTCTAAAGGCGCATCTAATGAGGAGATGGCGAGTCAGGATCGACAACTTCATCCTTGCGACACCGACTCAGAAAACACTAGTTTATTAGTAAATAACTCAAATATCTCTCTACTATTTCCCCCTGACAGATCTCTTCAGCTACACTGACGGCACGCACCACACATACTGCTGCTGCGGGACACTAAACACCGTCGAGCCGCTCTTACAATTAATAATATTCAGAAGAGGAACTATGACTTCTGGAAGCTTAGATGGAATAGGGTCTAACATACATGTTGTTAGTTTAGACGATTTAACAAGTTTATACAGTTCTTCTTCTCCTATAGTAGAGAATGAGTGGAATTGTTCCTCAGAGGATCTATAGCACACTATCTGATGTGATACTGTAGCTGACGGCTGCATGGTTACAATTTTATCTCTATTTGTATCGATGTTAGAAGTAAAGTAGTTCAGAAAGTAATTACTGCTGTGCTGTTGGGGAATGTCGTTAGACATTGTATTGAATAAATACCTGGGGTTGTGTTTGTTTTCTTCTAAATGAAAACAAATATGTGTATACACTTAGGTCCAAATATATTTGGACACAGGCACAATTTTTATTATTTTATTTATTCTTTATTTAATGTTTATTCTGCTGACCAAAACATATTGAAGTTACAGTTATATAATGAATATGGGCTTAAAGTGCACACTCTTTAATTTGAGGGTATTCTCATCAAAATTGGAGGAAAGGTTAAGGAATTACAGCTCTTTAATATGTACCTCCCATCTTTTTCAAAGGACCATAAGTAATTTACATTTACATTTAATCATTTTGCAGATGCTTTTATCCAAAGCGACTTACAATAGGGGAATACATAAAGCGATTCTTCTTAAAGAGGCAAACAGACAGGAACTGCTCGTAATACCAAGTTTCAGGCATTGTTCAAATAAGTACAAGCTGGACAGGGAAGGAATAAATAAAGAGAAAGACAAAGTTTTTTAAATTTAAGATGAAGTCAAGTAGCGTCAATAGAGATGAGTTTTCAGCTGTCGCTTGAAAATGGTTAGGGATTCAGCATTCTGGATAGGGGTGGGAAGATCATTCCAGCAGCCAGGAACAGTGAACGAGGCTGCCTGGCGGACATCTCGGCATGGATGAAAGAACATCACCTACAGCTCAACCTGGCAAAGACTGAGCTTCTCGTCTTCCCTGCCACTCCAACTCTACAGCATGATTTCACCATCCAGCGAGGTTCTTCTACAATTACCCCATCAGCTTCGGTCAGAAATCTTGGTGTAATCTTCGATGACCAGCTGACCTTCAAAGACCACATTGCAAAGACTGTTGGATCTTGCAGGTTTGCATTGCACAACATCAGAAAAATCAGGCCCTTTCTAACGGAGCATGCTGCACAACTTCTTGTCCAGGCCCTTGTCATTTCTAGGCTGGACTACTGCAATGCTCTTCTGGCTGGACTTCCATCAAGCACAATCAAACCTCTACAAATGATTCAGAATGCAGGCTTAGCACCCGCCTACTTCCACTCACTACTACGCATCTACATCCCCTCCAGAAGTCTGAGATCCGCTAGTGAGCGACGCCTCGTGGTACCATCACAGAGAGGCTCAAAATCACGTTCCAGAACATTCTCGTTCACTGTTCCTGGCTGCTGGAATGATTTTCCCACCGCTATCCGGAATGCTGAATCCCTGACCATTTTCAACAGCTGAAAACTAATCTCTTTCGACGCTACTTGACTTCATCCTAAAAAAAAGAAAAAAAAAATCTATTTTCTTTAATCTTTCCCTGTCTAGCTTGTACTTTTTTGAACAATGCCTGCAACTTGGTATTACGAGCACTTTCTGTGTTTATTTGCCTCTTAATGATGAATGTATTCCCCAATTGTAAGTCGCTTTGGATAAAAGTGTCTGCTAAATGAATAAATGTAAATGTATTTGTAAATGAAATTTACAAACTAAAAAATTGAGACAAAACTAAAGGCAGAAAGAGCCACAAACACACAACAACTTGTAAGAAATTATAGTCTGCCTCGACCCAGCTTCCACTCCAAATTGTGTATTAAACTATGCTCCTTTCTCTACAAAGAGCTTAATTATCATATAGATAGTTCTTTCCGATCTTAATCATATGTAAATAGTGCCTCCGGAGCGATAATTTGTCACTTATAGCGTGGGAGCAGCAGCAGGCCGTCAAGAACCATCTGCTGACCAAAAGGGTACATGAAAGAACTGCTATGGATTCTGTTTAATCTTATCACCTTAACATTTGGTTGTTCCCACTTGAGTCTACCGAAGATGTGGGAACGGAAGGCTATCACTTTCATTGTCATCCGCAATTTACATTTAAAACGAAACTTAATTTACATGTTGAGCGGGAAGATGAACGTAATACAGTATAAAATGATTGAGCTTAGGATGTTCGGGGTTCAGTCTGACTCCGTTGAACCCAAGGTACTACATGTACTTTGTCACTACTATTCTGTAATAAAAGTTATTCTTCATCAAGATCTTCGACGTCTTCACTTTTTCTTACATGTTTTAAACCCTCATCAGACAATTTGAAACATTTTATGGATAGACTGGGCAAATGCAAATTGCCCATCCCTTACCGCTACATTATACAAATGGCTAGAATTTCT